ATGGGCTAAGACCTCCACTGAGTGAAAATTGGTTCCTGGTGCAGGATGCATTGAGTATAAAGATCAGAAGCCAACTCAAATGTGTCCACATGAAAAGGGGAAGGCGGGCATTATAAGGATGCTGGAAGCCTAGAGAATGCACGGATAAGAGGGGACACCAGCTTCACAGAATGGAAATCCCATGTCTCCTTCTCTCATGGTCGAGGGGGCCCACTTCTCTCTGTGGACTGCGCTGTTCTCCCACTTTCTTCTACAATTACCTGCTCTTGGCACCAGACCCCAAATGGCACCCACAGCCTGCAGGGCCCCTCACCTAGACTCTGTAGCTCACAGAGACTTCCTTTTGTGGAGGTCCAGGCTGTTCTCCCAAGGAGCCTCTGTGTGGACCAGAATGTTCAACCTCTCAGTTAGCATTTGCCGTTCTCTCACTCAGGGTCTCCTGGCAGAGCTAGTCTCCATGAGGTCCTATCATGCGGGATGGCTCCTCGTCCTTGTCTCTTCTGAGTGGTGTCTTATCAGAGGGGAGAACAGGCTCAGAGAGGGGCTCATGGAGGGGAGGGCACCCTGGGAGGACACAGCTACAACCCAGGGGACATCAGGCTTGCTGCATCAACTCGGAATTTTTGAGAGAGGCAGTCCTTGGATGCAGCGGAGACCCCGATGTGGACTCTCAACCTTCAAGACTGAGGAGAGCAAATCCCTGTTCTCCAACGTGCTTTGTTTTCAGCGTTTTGACATGGCTGCCCCAGGGGGCGGACTCTGGATGGAGACTTCCTGTAGCCGTGGCCAGCAGGGGGTGGACACTGGATGAAGACTTCCTGTAGTCATGGCCAGCTGGGGGTTGGCTTCCCTGCTAGGTTGTGGCCAGGACTCATTTGCCACCTCCCCAGTTAGGACCAGTATCCTTGGCTAGACAGATGTTTGTGGAACGTGAGGATGCCATGCCCTCTTTGGGGTCACCTTGCTCAGGTGCCAGCTGGGGCCCTGGTGCTGCCCACCCAGTCCTGTGGGCCATCCACAAGAGACAGAGAAGGCTCTCGGGCCACTCGGGCACAATGACTGGGGACAGACTGGCATTTCTATCTCTAAATTGTTTCTATTTTGACCGTGTCTCAGAACAAATCTAACTTGACTTCTGATTTGCTCTTTCTGGAGCTAATTTCATAGGCGTCTTGACGGCGGGATCGTGTTCTCAGTAGCCGGAAGCAGCTTTGCCTGACTGGTTATTGAGTGGGCCTGTCCCTCCATTTCCTCGCCACCTCCTGTTGGCTTGGGCAGCGGGGGACAGGTGACCATTTCCCGTGAGGTACTATTTGAGGTGGGGGTGACCTCTCAGAACTCTCGCTGTCCGCCCAGTGATGGCCCCACGGTTCAGAGGAATTTGTACCGTGAGCACCTCTTGTACCTGCCGAGATCCTCGACATCTAGAGAAAAGGTTCTGGTGGGCGGCTTGAAACTCAGGCTTGGAACTCGCGTTTTACTTGCTCGCAATCACATCCACAGCCTTCTTAGTTGCTGGCATCTCGTCGCAATTGTTCCTTTGAGTTTATTTTGCCCTATTTTGGTGACTTT